CTATTTCGTTACAATACATAAGAACAAGTAAATTACTTCAATCGCTTAGGGTGTCTACAACTTTCGAAAAGGATAAAATCATTGATCATAACATGGACAGATTTTCAGTATATATGCCGAACAATTAACAAAATATTTAAGAAGGAGGCATCCAACGATAAAGTGATACAATAAAACAGCTGGGTAATAATTCAAAAAGATAACTCTACAAGATATAGAATTTAAGCTTAAGAACTAAAGTTTCTTCAAGCGACAAAATGCATTACAAGCCTTAATAATGGTGACAAATACTTCGATTGAAATAGAGTAATGAAAAATAAATTTGAAAGGCAATACAACTGTTTTGTTACCCATGCAACAAAATTAATTATATTTATTAAAAAGTAACATTTTTTATTAATGTTGCACCTCAAAACACAACGAAACCACCAGATATTTCTAGGCAAATCTTGCAGTCGAATATATTATAGTTTGTTTTCTTATGTTCTTCTCTTTGTATTTTCCACATTCTTTTCTTCAGATCCTCTTTATTTTCTTTCAAATCAAGTATCTAGTCTTTACCAAAAAACCAAATAATAATGCCCAACCAATTATTTTGTATCTAAAGATAGTCACTCTGGCAACATCTGCAGAATATCATGTAAGGAGAGATTTTGGAAAAGCATAGCGTCTAACCAGCTTTTTAGAACAGCAGTGAAGATAATTCAGGTAATCATGATGATCGTCAACCTTCGAAAGAAGACGGTACTTAGGAAGAAGACTGTATTGACCCATGATTAGTTTACCGTGATATATAGTTGCTATAAAATATTATTTTATCAAATTAAAATAACATACGACGACAATTTTGATAGAACGTTTTATCACCTAAGCTAAACGTATTTACAGAACTGAGTTTCGAATGTTACTCCTAAAAATACATTACAAAGCATTTAACAGAAGCCCCTAGTGGAGAGGAAAGCGTTTCTAAAAACTATAAAATTTTAAATAGGTAAAGAAATAATAAATAAGACTTACTAACAATCAATTTAATTTAACTATCAGATGACCGGTTTCGCTTTCTACAATATGAAAAGCATCTTCAGGTCTCGATACAAAGTTAAATAAATGCTGAAATGATAAAAACCCATATCAGGGTGTTGTCTAATAAAGATAAACAAAGTAGATGTTGGAAATTACAATAATTATGCCAATATTACATGTCTGTGGTTTTATTTCAAAAAGTGTAAGTGTAAGTGTACGAATAAAAGGTATAAAAAGTTTTAAAAGTTTAAACAGACAAGGTAAGGCACACAAATTGTTATAAAATAGTCTATTAGATTGTAATAAATTAATAAATGAGCAAATAAATAAACATTACTTACATGCCGGTACTCTATTAATTGATAGATGGTAGAACATGTTGAAACTACTATGTATTGTTGAATGGAGAACTCAATTCTGCTATTGTAGTTGTATGACAGTAAACGGGAAGTTCTTGAGGAGATAGATTTGATCCAATGAAGCAGAGATATGTGTGTGATTGTTTGTTAAATGAAAGTGATGTAATATACCATTGTATTATTAAAAGTTATTTATACTAATTCCAGAGATATATTTATGAAATGTGTGTTATTTATTGAGTAATTGTTTTATGAAGGTGACAGTTTTATGACAATGAATAAGTTTAGATGTACAAATTGTGTGGGTGTGCAATTATTTTTCAACTTGTAGTTATCAAATCTCTTTGATAAAGTTCTATTGGCAAAATAGTAGATTATTGCAACGTCAAGTAAATAAGATATTAGAATTAAAACAGTTAAGGACAATTTAAAACACACTAAAACAGAAAACACTTAGAAGGGACGAAACAAACATTAAATTTAAAAAGGGGGAAGGACTTTTATGCAATACATCTCAGTCTTGGGCACAATGAGTTTTTATGTTTTCTATTAGATTTTAGTAGTAAATTTGACAGATATAGGTTAGCATGTGACAGTTCTTCTTCTGTTTCTCAATACTGCAAGTTAAGTTATCCAGTTTTATTAAATATGCTGATATTAATGAGTGTCTCTAAATTGTTTTAATTAAGATATCAAAAGTAAATTGATGTGTTAAATATTGGCATACTTTAACAATCTTTAATTAATTAAATTTAAATGTAACAATACGAATAATTAAAGTACATCCCACATTATAACTAACTCAGTTTAGTCCAAATTACAGAACAAATTACAGTGATTCTTTGGTAACTAAACATGTACATTTTGTAATCAAACTATAACAAATTTACAAAATTTTATTTGAAAATATTGTTGTTGTGAGTTATCTGTCATGGTGTGTATAAATATTTTAGATATTTAATTTAAGTTCTGATATATTAATATGTAACCAAAGTAATAAGTGGATAATTATTGATGGTAATTAATTTATGGATTCTAGAAATTGACTAAATTATAAAGCCTTCAATAATTAGTTGGTAGTTCTAATATCTGACAGTTGGAACCGGAAGTTGTTATAGGAACAGGTAGAAAGATCCTCTATTTAAACCGGTATAAAGTAAATTTATTCTTATTTCAGATGAACAGATATTCCTCACCACCGACATGAACAGTGGTGAGTTTGTACAATTGTTTTAAGTAACACTTTAAAATTTTTTAATTAATAGCTGTTTATGAAAGTTAATATTTCTATTTGAAATGGAAATTTGTGTATAATTGTAATTAGTAAAGATGTATTCAATTAATACAGCTAGTCTGAACGATTTACATGTTCTGTTGGGAATTTTCCAACCACGTATTGAGTTTGAAATCAAAAATTTTTTTGTAAGATGAGTATATTTCGGAACCAGATGGAATGTAATAATAATTGTGGGTTAAATAAATTTAGGTACCATACCAGTTCAATACTGATATTTAATGTAGTTTTTAGGAAAATATTGTTTTCTGGTAGTATGTTAAAGAAATTCTGTGAACAAAGAACTAGATCCAAGGGAACTAGATTTTAATTTTGATGTAGAAGATTTCTTGAGTCCATAAATTAATTACCATCAATAATTATCCATTTGTTGCTTTGGTTACATATTAATATATCAGATATTAATATACTAATATTAATATATCGGAATTGGAATTAAATATCTAAAATATTTAAAAACACCAAGACAGATAACTCACACCAACAATAATTTCAAATAAAGATAAAAATAAAAAACTTTTGTAAACTTGTTATTACACCTGATTATAAAATGTACATGTTCAGAGGCCAAAGAATCACTTTAATTTAATTTGTTCAGTAATTTGGACATTAGACTGAGTTAGTTATAATGTGGGATGATTTTCAATTACTCGTATTGTTACATTTAAATTTAATTAATTAAAGATTGTTAAAGTATGCCAATATTAAACACATCAATTTACTTTTGATATCTTAATTGAAACAATTTATAGACATTCATTAATATCAGCATATTTCATAAAACTAGATAACTTAACTTGCAGTATTGAGAAACAGAAGAAGAACTGTCACATGCTAACCTACGTCTGTCAGATTTACCACTAATATCTAATAATTAACACATAAAAAACTCATTGTGCTAAAGACTGAAATGTAGTGCATAAAAGTCCTTCCCCCTTTTAAATTTAATGTTTGTTTCGTCCCTTCTAAGTGTTTTCTGTTTTAGTGTGTTTTAAATTGTCCTTAACTGTTTTAATTCTAATATTTTATTTACTTGACTTTGCAATAATCTACTATTTTGCCAATAGAACTTTATCAAAGAGATTTGATAACTACAAGTTGAAAAATAATTGCACACCCACACAATTTGTACATCTAAACTTATTCATTGTCATAAAACTGTCACCTTTATAAAACAGTTACTCAATAAATAACACACATTTTATAAATATATCTCTGGAATAAGTATAAATAACTTTTAATAATACAATGGTATATTACATCACTTTCATTTAACAAAAAATCACGCACATATCTCTGCTTCATTGGATCAAATCTATCTCCTCAAGAACTTCCCGTTTACTGTCATACAACTACAATAGCAGAATTGAGTTCTCCATTCAACAATACATAGTAGTTTTAACCATGTTCTACCATCTATCAATTAATAGAGTACCGGCATGTACCTAAGTAATGTTTATTTATTTGCTCATTTATTAATTTATTACAATCTAATAGACTATTTTATAACAATTTGTGTGCCTTACCTTGTTTGTTTAAACTTTTAAAACTTTTTGTATCTTTTTATTCAACTTACTCTTTTTGAAATAAAACCACAGACATGTAATATTGGCATAATTATTGTAATTTCCAACATCTACTTTGTTTATGTTTATTAGACAACACCCTAATATGGGTTTTTATCATTTCAGCATTTATTTAACTTTGTATCGAGACCTGAAGATGCTTTGCATATTGTAGAAAGCGAAACCGGTCGTCTGATAGTTAAATTAATTGATTGTAAGTAAGTCTGATTTATTATTTCTTTACCTATTTGAAATGGACTCACACAAGCAACACATTCATGATTATAAAATTTTACCTTGTGGAAACAAGTAAATGACACAAAGTCGTTTATATTGTTCTTTTCAGAAATACATAAATACGTAGCGAGCAAGAGACCAATAAACCGCTTGATTCGACTCACTGTAAATGTAAATGTTAAACTACCTAATTTTTAAAGACAGGGATTATAATCTACAAATTTTCCCCAGAAATATGTAAAACTAATAAACATTTTAATATTTTAATAGTTTTCTGGAAGCTAATTTACCCAACCATTAAGAATTTCTAATATGAATCTAAAATATTAAAGTAAAATCGACAAACAACATGAAGTACATTATAATGAGACGGAACAAAGACGAAAACTCCGAGCTCCAATCAAAGTGCTCGGCCGCCCACAAATTCATGTCTCAAATCAACAAAAATAAAGAATAATATTGTTATTTTACGACAAGTTACCATAATTTTAAACTTTTTAACTTAATATATTTACAGCTTACCTGTTGCAAATCCTCTACGCTGGGATGGTAGATTAGTATACGTTTTTTTAACAATAGGGCATTGTATATTAAAATCGTTTCTAATCCCAAAGACTTAATTATTCCTGAAATGTAATTGATTTTCTTACTACATAACTGTTTTCAAAGATCGTAATAAACTTTAGGTACCTTTTAAGTTAGTTTTCGAGGTGAAGTTATTTAAACTAATATAATCATCGTTATTATAAATTCCGTTTTTGGTATAGATCTGTAAATAAAGTTTGACCAGGTCTGCGCCACTTCTACTGCGGCTGTATTGAGCAGCAAACAAATCACATAGTGTTTCATATAACTTTGGTTGAAAGCACTGCGAGACGACAATCACAGCAGCCGCTTTGTCGTTGTTAACAATAAACTGTTTAATATGTATCCACTGTCTTCCCAATCTTTTGAAATAAAATAGTCCACAGGGTTCTACTCCGTTGGAAAAGCAAGTTTTGATTAAAACAGTTTTTAGTTCATCACTAATCGATGGATAATTCCAAGTTATAAGATTTTCGGTATTTTCATTTTCTAAAAAATGTTTTTTATAAAATTTTGGTATAATGATAACTTTTGAAAAGAAAATTAAACCAGTATTAACAAGTTAACTGAAGAGCTATATTTTTAAATTAGGCCTACAGGTCAACGGAACTTTGACATTACTGTTAAATATTTAACGTCATTGTTGTAATTTTTTAAGTAATTAATAACGAAAAAAAAGGCATTATTTGACTACCCGTCCGACCATTGAGCAAAAAGACAAAAAGAGGAATCTAATCGTTATGAAAAGGATACCAAAAAAGTGGCCTCTGATGGCGGACATATCCGGAAATGCGAATGCGCCAAATTTAAATTTTTCCGACACTTATTAACAGTAGCTATAAAATAGTTTTTCAGAATGTGTCTTAGACGAGAAAGTTTTAATTAAATCTTAACGATAATAGTCTAAAATGTGACACAATTGTTAAAAAACTTCAATTTAAATTTCAAAGATTTCATGTGACAGTTGGGACAAACAATAACATAACCAATTAAGTATGATTTCCTAAACAAGGAAAGAGTTTCTTTTCTTGCTTAATGTGGACTCTCAAGATGGCACTTTCTGTCTAACAATATTTTTGCCTCCACTACCTTTACATTCCCTCTTTTGTCTTTTTGCTCGATGGGTCCGACGCAGCGCAGAGAGAGTTTGAAAGTCACACTGGTCCAACTTCGTAGGTAGTAGGGAGAGAGTTTTGGCACGCCACGAGATTTAGTGTAGCTGGAGTACTTGTCGATATATGTTGAATCGCTCAAATAATTCAGTATTTACTGTTACATAATGAGTTCACGAAATACATGAGGTTTATCAGATTATGAACTTGAACAAATACTAAATAATATGTTCGACGAAAAAGATGACATGAATTTAGCGATGATTCAATTATAGATCGTAATTATGACCCTAATTCCGATGAAATCTCTGATAAGTCCGGAGACGAAATCGAAACTTTCGAAGAACGTAAGTTGACTTACTAAATAATATTTGTTACTAGTAGTCGAAGTAGGTGAAGGGCGGACCGAAGAAGTAATAGGAAATTTTGATTTTAGCCAAAGAAATGATAGAGGAGAAATACTCGTCTAATTTTGCCAAGAAGAAAATTTAATGATTGCAAACACCTGGTTTAAACAACCCAAAAGCAGATTATATACATGAAAAGCACCTGGCGATAATCAAAACGGCATAATAAGAAACCAAATTGATTATATATTAATTGACAAACGTTATAGAAATGGAATCAGGGAAGTTAAAACATATCCCGGGGCGGACATCGGTTCCGACCACAATCCTGTTGTACATAAAATTTCAATTAAACGAAAGAACATCAAATACAGAGATAAGATAAAACTTAGCCTCGAAAAACTTAAAGATCCAATAGCACAGGCAGAAATAGAGAAAACACTCAACGATACACTCAAACAAAAGTTCTGTGAAGCACCCGCGGAAGCAGAAGAAACAATAGAAAGTATTTGGCACACCTTCAAAACAACAATCACAACTATACAAAGAGAACAACTACAAGACAACATCAGAAAAACAAAGAATATATGAGTGACAGAAGAAGTCCTAGAACTGATGGACATAAGGAGATCTTACAAAAATCGCAAAGAAGAAAAATATAAAGAATCCCAGATAATCATCCGAAAAAAATTAGGAAAGCCAAAGAAGAATATATGAGCAGTAAGTGTGAGGAACTAGGAGATTTACTAAAACAGCATGACTACTTTAATGCATACAAAAAGATTAAAGAAGGCACAAATATGAAAAAAAAAATCACTACAACAACTTTAGTAGATGATAATAACGAAATAGTATCTAGTCCAGAAAATGTAGGAGATATGTGGGAAAAATACATCAAAGATCTGTTATATGACGAGAGAACAGAACCACAAATGAATATAGTACAAGAAATAATACTTGATATAATAACATCGGAAGTTACAAAAACAATCAATACGGCAAAGTCACGAAAGATCCAGATGAAATATACGTAGAGATGATAAAGCTTATCAATGAAGAACTGAAGATTTTCTGTGGTATATATTTGTGGTATATATTTTGTTAAAAAATATTGTCAACTTCTGTTAACAATATTATTTAACAAAATATATACCACTGAAATCTTCCCAGAAGACTGGCTTAGATCGACATTTATACCTATACCCAAGAAAAATAAAGCAAATACATGATCACAGTTCAGATTAATTAGCCTGATGAGCCATTTTCTGAAAATTTTACTCAAAATTGTAGATCAACGAATATACAGAGAATGCGAAAGAAACCTGAGCGTCGATCAAAATAGACAATCTTACAGCAGAATTGCCAATAAAAAGAGGAGTTCGTCAGGGCTGTGTACTCTCTCCACTGTTATTTAATATATATTCCGAATAGATCTTTGAAAATGCCCTCGAAAATATTAAAGAAAGAATAAAAATCAATGGAGAATACGTAACTAACTTAAGATACGCAGACGACACCGTCATTATTGCGGACAGTGCTGAGGGTTTACAACGACTTTTGAATGTCATAACCAGAGAGGGAGATAGCTTGGGACTAAATATAAACACAAATAAAACAAAAGTAATGGCCGTTACACGTGCACCAAATGTCAATATTAATATTCGTATCTATAACAAACATATAGAACCAGTACAAATATTTCAGTATCTTGGTTGCTGGATAACAAATGATCTTGACCACGAGGTCAAAATACGTGCTCGTATAGAATATGCTAGGTCCGCATTTTAACGAATCAAAAAATGTCTAATAAACTCTACCTTATCGTTGGATATCCGATACCAGTTTGTAAAAACGTTTATTTATTCCATATTGTTATACGTATTTATATCCATATTGTATGCCAGTGTCCTGGAAAAATATAAATTTAAACCGGAACAGATTCTGAATCTGGACGAGACTGGCATAACGACAATTATGCCACCTGCTAAATTTCTTGCCCCAAAAGGCAAAAAAACAAGTGGCTCACATCTTTTCACAGGAGAGAGGTGAACTTGTGACGTTCGTAGGGATGATTAGTGTAGTTGGTGGAGCAGTACTACCAGTCTTTGTGTATCCTAGAATTAGAAACCCTTAAAAATATTTAGGCGACGAATACCAACATCTGCCATGGCGTTAGGGAATAAGAAAGGATGGATGACGTCTGACCTTTTCCCAAAAGTATTAAAACACTTTGCGATTTCTGTTAAATGTTCTGTGAAAAGCAAGGTACTTCTGCTCTTGGACATCCACGAACCTCCATATCTGTAGAATCCATTAAATTGTGTCGAGAAGAGGGGATCGTTTTACTATTCTTTTCTACCTCATACGACACATAAAACTCAGCCACTAGATGTTAGCGTATTTGGACCGTAGCATGACTGGCTACTTTCAAATCCTGCAAAAACCCTCAAAATTCGACATGTGGCGCATTTGGCTAAGAAGGCATATGAATCTGCATTCACAATTAAAAATATAACTAGCTCGTTTAAAATACTGGTCTGTGTCCAACAAATCGACTTGTATTCAGTGATACAGATTTTATGCCAAGCGAGGTAACCGATAAACCATGAATGGAAAACAAAGATGTTAGTTCTATTGATACCATACAAAGTGAATTAAACACCGAAACAATTCCGCAAATGCCTTCGTCATCAAGCTGTGTAGTAGCAAAAAATATTAATAAAACACCTCCAGGCTCGCTTTAAGTTCTTCTCACATTGACTAACACACTGAGTGAAGTTAGGCCATATCCAAAGAAACAACTTGAAGAAAAGAAAAAACAAATAAATAAGAGAAATGAATGAAATGAGGTTGAATGCTCGAATAAATGAACTTTGAAAATAAGGCTATTATCGAGCACAAGTTAATTAAATCTAGCCCAAGTACTTTTGCTTAAAATAGCATCTTCAGGGGCATTTCGTCAAAATGTAAAACTATCCGACAAGTGTGGAATGTGGAAACATTATAAAATAACATACAATTGTACAAAACACTACACTAAAACGAGGACAAACAGTTTAAAATTACTTAAAGATTCTACGCTACATTCTCTGTCAGTATCTGGAGGTATTCTACGCTACATTATCCCTCCAGATACTGACAGAGAATGTAGCGTAGAATCTTTAAGTAATTTTAAACTGTTTGTCCTCGTTTTAGTGTAGTGTTTTGTACAATTTTATGTTATTTTTAGTATTTCCACATTCTACGCTTGCCGGATAGTTTACATTTTGACGAAATGCCCCTGAAGATGCTATTTTAAGCGAAAGTACTTGGGCTAGATTTAATTAACTTGTGCTCGATAATAGCCTTATTTTCAAAGTTTAAATAAGAGAAAAGCACATACCACAATATATACAGACACGCCAGAATACGAAAAAAGACAAAGTTTAGATGCAAAGAGAAAAAGAAAACTAAGTTTCAAACAGAATAAGGCATTAGTAGAAAAAGATTTTATACAGTAGGTGGGAAAAGAAATATTTGTCGGGCGAGTCTAGCACTGACGTAGTTTTGCAAGATTGTTCGTCAGACGACGGCGAAGAAGATTTAGAAGATTCTGAAGCCATCACCGACAATGAAAATATTGGCGTCGGAAATTTTGTTCTTGTAAAATTTTTTGTTTTCAAGATAGACATTTTTTATGTAAGTCAAATGACTTCTTTCCAAGATGAGGATTACGAGGTCAAATTTCTGCGCCTCAAAAATAATAAAACAGCTTCTTGTTTCCCATTGTCCAAGACATTACAGTGGTAGCAAAAAAGATATTGCAGCTATTTTGCCTGTTTCTTCCACATCATGGTACTTAAGATAAAATCCATGTTTAATTAAGTGTATAGGTAGGTACTTTAATTTTACTCATATTTATTTTATTGTATTTTGATATATAGCCGAATGGGCCCCTTCATATGACCGAAACTACCCCCTATGTGGGGTATTTTCGGCCAATTGTAAAAAAATTTAAAAATACAAAAATATGAGCCAACTTTATGTCTAGATTTTTTTTCTCTTTTAAAACAAGTTCCTAATAAGTTACAGTTTCATCAAAAACTATTGTTTTCTGAATTAGGTAACGAGTTTTTTAAAATTTGGCTTCTCAAGGCCAATATGCTGAATGTGGACCACTTTCCCTCTACCCCCTAAAAAAATTGAGAACATGTTATCCTTATTAAATGGCAGAATATGGCGAAAATTGACATGCAAATACTGATTTAGCATGGTACAAATCTTTGTTCAAAAAACCGTAAAATGCAAACTGTCATGAAAACTGTAAATGGGGGCTTGAAGAACATTGCTCATGTTTTGACGAAGATGCAAGTTTTCACCTTTAGTTGTATCTTTTTTCTTTTTGTTTTTTGTAATACTTTTGTTTTTTCTGATTCTTTGACATATTTTTTGTTAACGATCATATTCACGAAAACAAAAATAAAATCAATCAAAACTCAATATCAGTTCTCAATGAAGTCCAAAGATTCAAGCAAAAGTTGTTAATTGCAAAAATTAATATGGTTTTTTAGGGCTGTTATAACATTTAATTTACCGCTATTTATTATATGAGCTAAGTAAAGTAATGAACATTTTAAAGCATAAAAATTCAATTGCTTCAAAGATACAAAACACAAAATAACAAAAGAATTAGTTTCTTAAAACTGGTTGAATTGGACTTATCAACTTTTGTGTGAATGCTTTTCATATATACAAAGACTTAGAACGAGGAAAATCGAGAAAGAAAGAGAGGAAATCTTACAACAAAATACATTAAAATACAAAGGACATATAAAAATTTGGCGCAATTCAACAATTAATGTTTCTAAATAAGAAGCCTCACGCTATATTAATAAAAATTTCTCTGGAGAACTATAAAAAAGATGCGTTTTATATAATTATAGTTTAACTGATATTAAGGTATACCATACAGCTGTTTTGTTATTATCGACTCTTTACAAAAATTAAAAACTTTGTTTTATTGGACTAACTCGAATATTTTTAACTGTGCGTATATAACGTAGCTGAAGTATTAGTCACGTTGAAATTATGTCACTTTTATATCTATAGATATGATAGTATGTATTATCAAGTTTTTGTTACTTACCAAGTATATGAAAGGATGTTGGTTTATAAAACATTTCCAAAAAAACATTAAAATGAAACAATACTAAAACAAATCAGCCAAAATGTGAGGCGAAGTTAAACAAACAATAAAAAAACAAAGTGAAACTATGGCTAATAACAATTATGTACTGTTTACTAATAAATAAAAGTCAACCAGTGTCGACGACAGAGTTAAACAGATGGAATGTGACGTCGTTGTTGTGTGATAGAAATGGAATGTGCGCCGTAGTCAATTGTTTCCTATTTCGTTTTTAGTTGTATGGTTTCATTTCACAGCGGTTTGATTTATAATAGAAACGAGAGTCAGTCAATTCTAACAATGAATAAACCTTCTTGACATAAAGAATACACTGAGATAAAATTATATAAGAAATAAAAGAAGTTGATATTTAAAATATAGTTTATATAATATATTTTGTTTTTGTTATATTCATTTTTAAACCTATTCTATGACAGGCTGTACGCTGTACTAAGTTCTTCCAACATTTTCTTTGTCCCGAATCGTCTGCAATCAGGACTATATCGTCTACATAGCTTAGGTGGAGTAACATCACTCCGTCCACATTTATTCCTTTGTCACCCCATTCGAGGGTTCCCATCACCTTGTCGGATACCTCTTTGGATTTTTATTTGGTTGATGTTAGCGTGTAGTTGTATCGAGCTTGTCGCATTTTTATATATATATTATAATATTAGCCTCGAATATCGGCTATCAATGCGGCTCTGGTTTAGTGCATAACACTGTCGAGTTCTACTGAGCCGAATGCTTTGTGGAAAGCTACGAATGTTAAAACTAAGGGCTTGTTATATTCTATAAATTTTTCGATGAGTTGTTTTATTGTTTGGAGTTGATCGTTGGTTCCAAAGTTTGCTCTGAATCCAGCTTGTTCTCTACTTTGATATAGGTCTAATTTTTTGACTAATCTTGTGGTGATTACACTCGTGAAAAGTTTATAAAGATGGTTTAACAGACCATCGGTCGGTAATTTTCCAGATCAGTTTTTTCTCCTTTTTTTGTGCAGAAGAATTGTTTTGGCTCTATTCCATTAAGATGGTATGGATTTCTTTGTCAAAAATTGATTAAAGAGATATTTTATTTTCCTCATTAGAGGTTCACCGCCATTCTTAATAGCCTCCATCACAATTCCATCGTCTCCTGGTGATTTATTGGATTTCATTTTATTCATGGCTTGTCTAATTTCATTGAGAGTTATTTCTGCATGAGTTAAGAGCCTTAGTTTAAGATTGTTTTGCTTATTGCATCTTTTATAGTTTTATTTTTATGAACGAGAGAGTAATTAGCATAATTTTAACTGGTATCTCCGACCACTCCATGGGCGTGCTCAAGATTAATTGAAAAATTACTTTGAATAATTGTAAAAAATAAATGAATTATTTCAGTGTTATAAAGTGTTATGTGTATGTAAACAAAAGTGACCTCTTTTATCACACACTATATTAGAACTGACTGGCCTACATTAAAAAGGGTTTTAAAAAATTCACATTTTTTTTAATTTTTAAAAATTACAAAAGAGAAAAAGAGTTTTTAAAACCGTCTAAGGTATGTTAAATAGATGAATAAAAATATTAATATAAAACTTACAGCTACTTGTTACAAATCCAAATCAGATTCAGAAGATGAACTTTCAGAACCAAGATTTATAATAACTGGCTCGATCATTTTATCAGTAATATTGTCCAGCTTCCACATTTTTTCCTCTTCTTTAATAGTGTGATTTACTGCCTTTTCCCAGTTTTCAGGTTTTACATTATTTACGGCCTCCAAAAACAACTGTTTAACATCATGATATTTTAAAAGTGGTATTTTTTCTTGAAACTTCACTCTTTATCTGTGCCCATACCAGTTCAATCGGGTTTAATTCACAATGATATGGTGGGGATCTAAGTACTGTCATTCCACGATTTTTGGCAATTTCATCAATTTCGTATTTTTTAAATTTTTCTTTATGAAGGGCACACAACGAATAAAGTTCCTTTCTTATAGATCCGGGATGGTACGTAATATTTTTTTGAACTCAGCCAATTCTGCAAGTCTTTTTTTAAACACTTGGTTGTGGGCATCCTTCTATAAGTCTGGAGTGATAACTTGCATTATCCATTACTATTACACAGTTCTTAGGAAGAAGATCTATCATTTGTTCGAACCATTCTTGAAAGACATCAGCGTTCATGTCTTCATGGTAGTCACCGGTACGAGTTGATTCAAAAGTTAATAAACCACCTTCAACAAAACCGTCTGAACTGCCAATGTGTACTATTATCAGCCTGCGTCCCTTTCCTGATGGTGGGTTTAAACCATTAGATAAGTTATTTACAAAAGCGTGCCTTTGACTTGTAACAGTTTCATCCTGCCAAATTTATTTGGTGTATGACCCTCGTTGATTCATGTTTCATCAAGATAAAATATTTTCTTTTTTGGTTTCTCATTTCCTTTATGGTTCTTAGAAAATGTCTTCTCCATATGACAATATCGCTTCTTTCTAATAAAATAGACTTTCTGGGATTCTTTTTCCAGCGGAAGCCTATTTCTTTTAAAAGTTTCCTCACTGAATCGTATCATCTCGAACTGAGACAAGAACTTATCCAAGTTGGAAATTCTTGTCTAAAGAAGAATTCATGCACTTTCCGTCGAAGTCCTTCTTTAAAATGATATTCTATTTGAAATTTTGGTGTTCCCTGGAGCATTACGTGGCATTTGCCCAATAATTGTAAATCGTAGATTTCCCAACACCAAGTGTACTGCTAACTAACTCAACGGTCTCATCAACACTTTCACATAAACGTTTGTCTGTAAATGATTTAAAACAATTAAATATTAATGTTTTTTCATTAACTGTTAAAGGACCAATTTTTCGGCGTTTACACGCACTTCCAAATTTTCCATAACACTAGTATACACAATAAACTGCACCTTGCAACTGAAGTACCTACTTTTAGTGAACTGTTAAGAATTTTGAATACGCCACTTGGACCTTCCTACAAAATGGAAAAACCCACTATCACATTTTCTGTGGAATAAGTTTAGAAGGTAATTATCTAGTCAATTACTGTCGTAGATTCCTGGAATTAAAGAATTAAATGTTTGATTGTTGAAACCCTTACTTCGTGGAATGCACTCATTTCAGATAAAATAAAACGTTTTATTTTATCTAAAGAATTAAACTTTATTTTGCAAATAGGTAGGTACTTATTAAACTTTTATTGGTTATATATAACCAATAAAATAAACATCTTACATTTCTTGCAAATTCATTAGTACCTGTTAACCTCCATCACTCCGACACTGGCAACCTTATTTAGGGATTAGTAACCCTCACAAGTATTGTATTCTATTCTGCTCCAACCTTTATACCTGGTGGTCATACTCAATTTAAAATTGTTTTCCTATATACTTCTGTAAACTTGTTGACAAATATCTGTTTTTCATTGAGTCACCCGTATCAACAGTTTAGGGATTTGCATACATAATTTATTGTTTTATTACTCTCTCATACATAAAAATACACTATAGCTGTGTTTGGTTCATTCGTCTTCTTTTATAAAGTTCTCCATAGAAGTCTTCTACTATTGTTAAAAGCTCCTCTCTATTTCTTGTTATTTCGCCCTTTTTGTTTTTTAATTTAATGATCTGACTTTTTCCAATATTTAGTTTTCTTCGCAGAGTTTTTAGACCTTTATTATTTTCTATGGTTTTTTCAATCTTTTGTGTATTGTACTTTCTTAAGTCTTTTCTTATTGTTTTCTTGACTTCTTTGTTTATCTTTTTCTTTTGTTCTTCATTTGGATCATTTCTTTCTGTAATAAGATTTGTTTGTTTCGTTATTTTCCTGGTGTTAGTACTAAGTTTTTCTTCATTTTTATTTCTGGGACAGTCTTTTCTCATGCTTTCTCCAATGGTTTGTGTAATATGTTGGTTTAGTGCGTCTAAATATCTTTAATATCTCTAGGTTGGGTCCATATTGGTATTGGTATCGTATTTACTAATTTGCGTATCTCTTGTTTTGTGCTTATTTTAACATCAGCTCTTACCATTCTATGGTCGCCACCAGTGTTGAATGCATTTAGGACCATTACGTATTGGATGATTTCTTTTTTGTTTGTAATTATGAAGTCAATTTTTCGTTTTTTGTTTTATTATCTGGGCTTGCCCAGATCCATCTTCTATGTGGTTTTTTATAGAAAAAGCTTTTTATTTGGACACTATTATTCTTTGACTTTATACTGACTTTTATTCCTTCCATTTAGTCCAAATTGTCCAAGTGATATTTCTTCTGGACATGCTTTAATTCCTGTTTTCGCATTGAAATCACCACAAATTATCATGTATAGTGTGAGTACGTCGTTTAGAGCTATTGAGATATCGCCGTGGAATTCTTCGACTTCTTCATCTAAATGGATAATTGTTGGTGCATAGACTTGAATTATTTTAATGATGTATCTTTTATTGAGTTGTAATGTTAAGTAAGCAACTCTGTTCGATATTCGCTTAATAGAAATAATTATTTTATCGCTATGCTTTCTATGTATAAAAAAATTAATGTCTTCCTCTGATGTTTCTTCATTACCCATACTGAAGAAAAGATGCTCTGTAATTCGGGTCTTCAGACTTTCTCCTTTTCTTCTCATTTCGCTGACTCCTATTATGTCCCATTTGATATTTGACATTTCACTCTCCATCTCTGTAAGTCTTTCATCTGACAACAGACTTCTCGCATTGTAGGTAGCAATATGCATCAATATGTGTTTTTTTGGATTTTGTCGTTTGCGAATTTTTGCCTCCCTCTAGAATCCTTGAGGCACACCTTATGACGTGTGGGACTTACCATTACTAATCTACCCACCTGGGATTCACTATTCACGATTAGTTTAAATACCGCTGTGACGGGGGTAAATTTGACAATTAAAACACCGCGCTTGCCTTGCGTGTTGGTGAGTTTCTAAATCAGGCGCCCAATCTGGGTCAGACGCTGTTTGCAGCCGCCCATTCTGGATCAGACGCTGCAGGTTTGGTTTGATTCTATAGTAATCCTAAAATTTAGGGTTGCCACTTCCGCCATCTGTACCGTACCGAAGCTCCGCTTCTCCGCTTCTCCGCCGCGGCTGCCATTCTGGACGTCATCCGCAACTCTGGACAAGGGACCCTAAATAGGTACTAGTTTCCCGGGTCAGGAAACCCCCGAAATCTGCGGAGGGCAGGGATTGAATCAATTTCATTGATAGGACTATCATCAAGAGTTTAAAGAGTTCCTACCCGTTATAAACACACACACACACACACACACACACACACACACACCACACACACACACACACATGGTTTGCTTAAAATATTTCAAAGTTCCAAAAAATTAAAATAATTCAGATAAGTAGGGATAATAACCAACAAACATTT